CTTTCATTCAAAGCTCGCGCTCATTCTTCCCATCCCCTTCCGTCGCCTCGATCTCTTCTGACCGATACTTTGTGGCAAAATCTAACCCCGATCTTGTGGGCATGCCAGCCTTGAATGCTTTTATGTGATGAGCTCCAGCTCCCTCACATAGTTAAACCTCCCAGCATTCCTACCACATGACAGCTTGTCCTATCTCCTTAGGACCAATACTTGCTTAGCCTAGTGCAAGAATCTCGTGTTGAAAGGAAATATACAAGCATTGAGGGTAGCTTCGACAAGGATCCCCCTATACTACCAGCTCTACCACCACCGCTCTAGTCCTGTCACTCCCTAGTCTGTTCGCTAGCAGCTATTGCTACCCTCGAGCGGACTTGCATCCATACTGCTGGCCGCCACTCTTCCCCGCCTCTAGCTACTTTGCCTCCAGCTGACACTACGCAGATCGAGCTGGCTCCTTGGAGCACACCTGCACACACAGGAAAACAAACACACATGCATACAAAGACCCATCCAAGCGCTGGTGGTAACCCTCCTGCCTCTGCTGTCGCTGCCTAGCGCTGTCATTCCTCCTCACTCCCACTCCTCGCTTACGTAAGTATCACCCAATTTGCTTCCCATGCAACTTCCCAACCCTTCACTTCGGCAGACGTCAACCGCCTTCCCACCCCTCGTCCTCCCCCTTCTCCCAACAGTCACATGACCCTTCACCTCCCATCCTTGACGCTACCCAGCTCGCTATATACAATATGTACACTTTGTACAGCTCCCCCATGCTCTTCCCCATTATACCCTTCACATTCATGCAAATGTGACATCCAGGTGGGCGGGCTGCAGGGGCGCATGAAGCATGTGGACCATCGCCACATATGCTGCAAGACATGGTGCGCATGAAGAAGTTGGAGCTGCAGCACATCCCCACAATGGTGCATCCCGCGGACTTCTTCACGAAGTGGCTCGACAAGGCAGCCTTCAACCAATGTTGTGCAGCAGCCGGGCTAGTCTAGCGTGCTCGCGACAGCAAGGAGGCGTGTTAGAAGAAAATGCTGTCATGAGCAACAAAATGTCGGCGCTGGGATTCAAACTTGTGACCTTCAATCTGTCCTGAAATGACACTTTCTGCTAAGGCGCTGTTTATGGTGCACGTGAGTTTTGAACTGGAGACCTTTCGATTCCAGTGTCCCAAAAAAGTCCTTTTAGGACAGTTTGGGGACAATTCTGGGAGAGTTTGGCAAAACTGGTCTTGGGTCTCGTTCGGTTTGAAACTCGGCAGCGAAGTGTCGAAGTCAACGGAATTCGCACGGGAGTTACAATCGGTGTTCGACAAAATTCTGGTCGCGGAAATTCTTGTCAACAGAATACCAGTCAATGGAATTAGCGCGGCAAAATTCAAGGCTTGAAATTTCGCGTCGACAAAATTTAGCGTGCAACCTCGATCGACACTTCCTTGTCTGCTTTGTTCTTGTATTGCGTTTCTAGTATAAAACCAGAGAGCACAAATCGGAAATCAACCAAGTCATTATCACTGCTATGTTTGTGTGTATCTCTGGCTGTAGTGGACATTTCTTGCAATCTTTGGTGTATTGGAATCGTGCTTTTGAGTTGTATCAAGCTGTTATAGCAGGGAAATTCTACAGTTAGAAGTTCACAAATTTCAAGATTTTGTAGCCCGATGCCGTGGCTACCATTCTCAATTTAAACTGTAGCAAAAAGTGAAGGATTTTCTTGTGATATTTTTTGGTGCACTTGGGGGGTATGCTGTAGCTGAAACTTAACTCAAACGTCGATATGTCAAACTATGTTTGGTATATTTTTGTATGTTCTAGTCTAGGTGTTACAGGTTGCCCTAGTTCAGTTAGGGTTTCCTACATATTCTTGTTTTGCATGTTGTTTAGTCATCCATTCTCCCGTTCCTAGTTTAACATGGTTTAGAGCTTAGTCACCCATTCTCCCACCGCCCCACGCCCTGCTCTAGCCCCATTGCACGCTTGTTTAGGGTTTCGCTCATTCGCCGCCAGCTAGCCACCTGTGCGCGAGTCGTTCGCCTTTCGTTTGCCATTAGATCGGCCTTTGTTGCCCATATCGCCCTATTCTTAGTCTCACATGAGGACAGCCCCACCTCATTGTGTTTCTTGCTGTGCCAGCTCGCTGCTCCACCTCCAAACAAGCACATATAGCCTCAAATGCTGGTGCCCTCCACCTTCACTGAGTTGAAGCTAGAGTCAGTGTAGCAGGTCAAGAGCATCTTCCCCTTGCTTAAACCAGCTGCACCCAGTTGCAGCCTCTACCTCACGGCATTGTACTCCACACCAACTGATGTTGTCACACTCACATAGCGGACAAACCTCTTGGCCGCTTCCAGCTACTCATGAATGGGACGTGACACCACACTTGCAATCCTGGATATAGCAAAGGCAATGTCAGGCCGTGTATGTTTTGCAACGGATTTGACTGCCCCAACCGTAGAATGAAACAACTTTTTGTCACTATTACCCACCACCTCCTCATCAGCACATGGCTCCACACTGAACCCTGAAGGCAGTGGGGATGCTGGCTTTCCTCCAACCTGCAGCCCATACTTCTCAGCCAGCCCCTCACAGTACTTCCTCTGGTGCAACCTCAACACTCCCTTGTCAAGGTCCTTCTCCACATGCATGCTTAGGTAGTTCTTCACGTCTTCCATCTTCGAACACTTTAAGTGCATCTCCAGCATCTCCTCCACACTGTCAATCATTGCAGATGACTCAGAGAGAAGAGAAGGATATCGTCCACATACACCAAGAGTATGGGAAACTGGTCCTTCTCTTGCAGCACACACCTCTTGTGGTCACATTCACACTTCTCGAAACCCCCAGCAAGCAGTGTCTCCTTCAGCTTATGGCACCATGCACGAGGAGCATGCTTCAAGCCATAGATTACATTCGTCAACCTACACACCCTGCTGCTCCTATCATCCAATACCTTAGGCTGCAGCATGTACAACTTCTCAAGAATGATCCCATTGTGGAAAGAAGTCGTAATATTCATCTGTTTGATCCTCCATTCACGATTATCACCCTCAGTGTTGTCCTTTTTCCCACAGGAGCAAACACTCATCAAAGTCCTCCTCCTTTGACTACTGAAACCCCTTTGCCATAATCCTTGACTTGTAGCAAGTCAGCTCCCCATCAGGTCCGTACTTGTGCCTGAATTGCCTTCTTCTCAGGAGGAAGCTCACACAACTCCCAACTTTCATTCTCCAGCAGAGAGTCATACTCCTCCTTCACACTCTGCTTCCACTTTTCAGCATCGGGCCCTCGCAACGCCTCAATTAGCATCTTGGGCTCAAGGATGACTGCCCAATAGCAATGTGCAATCTCATTCTCATCACACTTCTCGGCCACACTCCCAGTCTGTACCGCACTTTGTGTGCCTCAGCTCGTATAGTTCAGCTGGTAGGAGGGCGAACATCCCTCCTAGGACGCTCAAGCAGGTGTGGGGCAAGGGCTGGAGCATGTTGCTACTTTTGCTCCACCTCAGCTGCTCCTCCATCTTCAGTCACCCTAGACATCTCCTCCGACATAGAGACCTCCACCTGACTCGAAGGCTGCTGCACCTCATCTGCCTTAACAATGAGCACTGTAGTAGGACGCTCGATTCTGCTGCTGCTGCTTCCACTCCTTGTAATACAAGGACTAAAAGAATATCACATCCCTTGACACAATCAACCTTTGGCTGGTCTTGTCCCACAGCAACCAGCTGTTGTAATCCTTTGCAATCCCCGAATGCACACCCCGTTGTTAAAGTGAGAGGAGCCATGGATAGCGAGAGACTTAGGTGAGCTTGAAAGGTTGTACTAGGAAAGAGTGTCGAGATACAAATGTAGGAAACCCTCATTGAACTTAGGGCGTGTTCAATTTGTGCTAGAAACTAAGAAATGAACCTAAACTGAACCGAAAGTGTAACTCGCTCTAAACATGGTAAAGTAACAAAGGAACACCATGATAAATGCCAGAGCGAGCTCTAGCCTACTCCAACACACCCCCAGGCTAGGTGAAGCTCTGGAACAAAACACTTAGCGAACGGGAACACCCCCAGAAGTGGCGAGACGAGTGAGCCCAAGCGCGCGCATGTAGAAACGGTGTGGCGCACAAAGGAGAGCCTTCGTGAAAATGTCAGCAAGGTTGGCAGTAGCGGCCACCTTGCGAAGGCAGAGGAAGCCAGATTGCACCAGCTCGCGCACGAAGAAGTAGCGGACCTCGATATGCTTGCTGCGAGCGTGATAGACAGGATTTTCAGTGAGGTGAATCATGCTCGCACTGTCACAGGAGAGCGTCACAGAGGGCTGAGAGTGACCAAGTTCAGCAAGGAGAAACGAGAGCCAGCGAGCCTCCTGAGCTACAAATGTCCCTGCGTACATCTCAGTTTTGCAGATGGAAAGGCAGACAGAGGATGAGCGAGTGGAGCGCCAGCTGATGAGGCAACTGCCAAGAGTAAAACTATAACCCTAATAGGAGCGGAGATCAGGGCGAGAATCAGTGTGGAAGGCTTGCAGGTCTCCGAAAGTTGATTTCATTTCTGTCGCGGTGTTGTATGCAGGTTGGGTTCAACATTCCGAGCGGAAACATTCCGATTATTCTGACGCGCAACTTGGGGGCAGTCCCGACACAAGGATAGTCGGACTGCGCGTGTTTGGATTGCTACAAAAGTGTTACAATACATTTTTTTTCTAGAAACTAAAATAAAAGTTATTTCGTCATGTGAGCGCTTATGTTGAAAATGGAAAAGTGACAACAATAAAATTCGGTAGCGACAAGTAACAGGGTAACAACGAAACTAGAAATGTGTCCTACAGTAAATCAATTTTATGTTTAATACATGACATAAAAAAGCATGCAATAAAATTGCTGAACTATTACTAGTAGTTAGTTATTTAGCATATGAAAATAAACAAAGTTACGCAATAACCATACATTGAAAACACACAAAACAAAACAAAACAAAACAAAAGAGTCGACTAATATTTAATTATCAAGCTCCTCATCATCCTCCTCCGCTTCTGTGTCATCATCACCCAGTTCATTTGCCTCCAGCTCAGCATTGGAAATCTCCTGCCAATTGACAGTGCAGATATTGCCAATGACAATGAAATGCCCCATCTTTGTGCCTTTCAAATTGATCCATCGCTGCACCATGTAAGCCTGTCGTGTCGTGGCATGGCCATCGCCAGATCGTGCCAGTCTCACCTTGCCTGCCATGGGGCGGCGCAGCTTGAAACGGACCTGCCATAAAAGACAAGCACAAGCATCAGAACATGCTTGCAGTAAAAAATATTGCACTCATGAGTAGTTGATAACTCACCACAGCAAGGATGAGAAGGAGCTGCTCGGGATATAAAGCAATGGCCTTCGTATGATCATACTTCAGTGCAAAACGCTTTGCACATTCCATGAAGGCAGGGCTTGCAAAGGGATACTCATCCCAGAAATGCTACAAAATGCCCAACTCCCCTGCCATGGGACAAGGGATAGATAACTGGTTGGGGTAGGGGAGCAGAAAACACAAATGCAATCAGTAGTTAACTTACTGTTCGAGTTGTTCGCTACAAAGTTCGCACACTTTGTAGGCAAATCAAAAGTCGCCTCAAACTTGATTCCGCGACCCTGGCGTTTAGCTTTTAGCAGATTCAAGGGGTGCTTCCACATAGCGCAGCGGAACTCATGGTACAGCTTGCCGAGGTGGTTGTTGAAGCGACGTTCCATAGTTAAGGGGATGCCCTTCTCCTTGAGGAAAGCAACAAACTTGACAGCATCATCCGAGCCCGCAGTAAAGCCCGCATTCACTACACAAAATACACAGAAGCAATTCAGGCACTCCAAAAATAGCAACTTGTAACTGTATAATGACACTTACCAACAAGACATTCCAAGAACTTGGAACGGTCCGGGGTAAGATCCAAGTGCTCCTTGCTGAAAAGAAGATCGTTGATAGTTTCCATCATGATTCTCTGCATGCGCAAAAGATTATAAAAGTTACAATATACGGAACAACCGCCCAGCAACATAAGGCACAACAACAATAAAGGACATACCTCGATCTTGAGCTTGCCAAGGCGCTCATTGACGAGTTGATCAATAAGAGTTCCCATGATCCCAAGCGCCTTGTTGATGTGACTGTCCTTCAAGGCACAAGCTTGCTTTGGCGTTTCAATCTCCTTGGTCTTCTGAGCGCACAGCACCTTAGCATCACCATCCTAGGGGGGGTGGGGTCTCGGGAATCTTCATGAAACTAAGCTGACGCATGGTTAAATGCATCACCAATGGCTGCCGCAATCATCCTTGTGTACAACCGTTATGGGGATCTGTCAATAATCAAGAAAAACAGAGTAAGTGGAACACAAGAAAGTTTACCAACCTCCAACCTCATCATCGCCGTCGTCCCCGGGGAAGTTGTACGCCTCGTCATCGGGCAGCAGCGAAGGTGCCTGCTCACTGGTAGAAGGGAGGTTATCTGCAGCTACGGGGGTAGGGAGATTAGCATCCGACGTCGCGTTAGTCCCGGTAACACCGACACATGCATTGTCGTTCCTGGTTCCTGTAACTGTGTTGGTCTGACCTCCGGTCAACAGGGCTGATCGAATCGCGGAATGGACCCAAGGGAGTCGACCAGAGGAGTTACCCCGGTCAGATCATTTGCGCTTAGCTCCCTCAAGAGACGACAAGTCCTGCGAGGAACTTGACGAACCACCTGTGAGCAAAGAACATAAATATTAGCCATTGCATTGTGAGAGAAAAAAAAAACCAACGTAATAAGCACTTGTAGCCAGTGAATCTGACCCTAACAGAACCTATGGTCATCCTTGACACGCCGATGATACGAAGTTCTAGGAGGAACAGCTTGCATGATGGAGGCACGAAGCTGAATATTAGCGTTCCTGCCCATGGTTATATAGACGGAAAGAAAAACGGAAAATGAACGTAGCTGGATTGTTGGAAGAAACATGAAAACATTCCCTGATTTATAGCAAGCAAAGAGTAGGAGTTTGGTAGGCACTCACCTGAATGATGAGATTTACTCGCCTGGTTCGGGTGGGTTCAGTGTTGCAAACATTTGCTGGCTGTGTTGTGGCGCACATCATGTGCCTCCCATGAATATGGTATGAGGGTGCAGTCAAGTGTGATGTTGGCCAAATGGAGTTTGAATTTTGAAAATTCAAAACTTCAATTTTCGAAGTCTGGGCAAGGGAGCAGGAAGGACTCCCGAGCGCTACCCACCACGCTGAAGATAGGGTTGCGGAAGAAGTAGAGACGTGGAGAGAAGGCCTCACTGAGGTGGGGGGTAAGGATTGAGAATGAGCATCTGATTGGTGCTCCTTCAGCCAATGTGAGGTTAGCTTGAAGGCAGCATGGTGTGCTGTAATTTCAAGCGGTATGTGGGTAAGGATGAACAACAAAATTTTGAATGCCAAGTTTTTTCTAAACCGATTTGAAAAAACAAAGTTGGAAAATTTTACACCATCTCGCGATACACTACGTATCCACTCCGACCAATTCCGTATCGGAAAGTTCTGAAATCCACTTCAACATATTTTTTTAGGTGTAGGGGTATTTGCGACTAGGTCATTCACCAGCTAATGCAAAGCGCGGAACAGAACAGAACAGAACCGCCATACGCGACCGACTGTCCTTGCAAGCGTCATATTCTGCCCACCGCCACCTGTCCTTGTAAGGTTCAAACCTTGCCAAATGACATGGCAAGGTTCAAGCCTTCCTACGTGCCAACTGTGCACGTGAAGACGATTTGTTATGCTGGCAACGTTACCCCCAGCGGTCCGCAGTAAAATCGGATGGCAAGTACAGTAAGAAGCCAGCTCGGCCGATTTGCTGCAGTGTGTTTGTCTTTAGTGGCTAGCCGCGCACGTTGCGTACTAGCCACCAGGGGTAAATATGTGGTGTGTTATGTCTTCTCTGAGAATGGGTACGCAATGCTTAACAGATATAGTAACACAATACAGAGGTACTTGGACAGTTACAATACCAATCGGCAGTACCCTCGGAATGTCACAAATAGTTACACAAACGGGCTATTTTTGTACGCTGTCGATCTCCTAGCACCAAAATTGCTGAATGTACAAGTGTCGCCTTTTAAACATGGGTATATACAAGGTACTGCAATCATCACCACTTTAACTCATTCAAATAAAATGTAGCATCAGCACTCTTGACGTCATCCGTGCGTGGAACGACATGGATGACGCGTAGAACACTCTCCACAGGCACCACTCCGTATCCGTTGTTCCCCGTCGCCCAACTGAGAGGTCTACAAGGTGTAGCCTCTGTGATCGGTGTCCTGCGGTAATACCGCACAAATGCAAGCTGCTCCGTCAAGGGTTGTTCAACCTCAACCTCAACACCAGTAACTGCTTCCCGCGTTTTCTTCCATGCATGGTGAAAATCAACAATAGCTTAGCTGGCCATAGCATAGTCACCCCCTCCTCTACGGTCACATCGCTATATCAAGGGCCGCCATAAAATTTTGGCACCGCACGTGCGTATGCTGGATATTTACTATATTTGTTGAAATCGTCGTCGGGTGGTACAGCAATGTCGTGATGAACGTCCACCTGCAAAATCCACTCTACCAGGACGCCCGGGGCATGCCGCTGCCTCCTCTGGAAAGCCTCCATACATCTGCGAAGTACACTGAAATTACCCGGAATTAAACTAGCCCAACGATCCCTAGTACTGTCAGTCTCGGCATGGTAGTCGATTGTCGCTGCTTTACTTGTTATAGCCATGTCCCCAATCTCCAATGCCTGATTCAAAAGCGTTATACAAGAGGGGAAAACATAATTAGATGCACAAAATCAGTAAGCTCGTATGGTGTTGCCCAACGAGCTCATACGGTGGTACTCTTTGCATGCACAATCCAGTATCGACCCCGCATTTTACTTGCTTCATTGCGGTTGTCCTTACCTCGTGGTCCTCCACTTTCTCGTCAGTGGATGTCATGCACTCGATCAGCTCAGACACAATGTCTCTTCTTGTAATTGATGCTTCTGCATTCCTCTTGTTTGAAGATCTAAATGGGCGCTTCATCAAAGCGATATGGACGTGCTCGTAGAGGTCTGTGCAATAATGAGCAGGAATGCCTGTTCGGCGACTATCATCCGCCACGTGAAGCATTGCATGAACCTTGGGGACATTGAATTCCGAGCTTTGCTCCTTTTTGAATTCGCTTATGAACATTGGCATGACCCTGTATGTACAATTCCACACGTGAGCATACTCACACATCCTCACGCAGACACATGCGCACGCATACACGCAAGCATATATACATACATACGCACATATACGACCAAGCATGCATACACACAAACAAACACATGAACAGATCAATACACACACATGCACATACACACAGAAAAGCGTGCACACACACACACACACACACATACACACATACACACACACACGCACGCACGCACGTACGCATACACACACACATAACCGCTTACACACACAACCATGCGTGCACACACATGCATGCTCAAACCCAAATGCATACACACGCATATGCACGCACACACACATACCACACAAGCGGGTACAATAGAAGAGGTACACGTTGAAAAGTTTGATAGGTTTAAGGCATCATACCGACAGCTGAACCATACAAGTCCTCAATACGTACTTGAGGGTGAGGTTGTGCAGATCCCGCAGCGTTGCCTCGGTGTGGTACGCTCGATGCCATGCGGTAGCATGCCACAGATAATACAGCTCCACTGGTCGCACCCACTCCTTCTCCACCCCTTGCCTCAATAGCAACACAGGCAAGACCTGCATGACTGCCTGATGCTGACGCATAAAACGTGGTGTTACCACTGAAGTACCTGTCGGTCTTTGAAGGGAGTCTGAAGAAGGACTGACGGCTGTACCGTGTGACCCGTGCTAGATCCTTATCTAGTGCATCCAACAATCTAGGCACTTTTGATCCTTTCTGCTTCAAAAAGTCAAGAATATTTTTGTACACACCCAAGCACGACATCTGCATGAACTCGACCATGAGTTGGTGATAAGGGTTCCCCAACGACGTATCGCCGTATTGGAACCCCCAAAGTGCACTCTACACGGGAAAGAGGGGGGGAAAGGTATAATAAATGAGCGCCATACAGTGATCCATACACACGGCCATATAAACAAATCAAATACAAGATACAGTTGTTCATTAACATACCTCAACACCGTGCGTGCTGTAGAGAACTTCAAGATCGTTTTGGACGCGCTTTGTCCTTGCCACGATTATTTCTGCCACGCGTACCGACTGTTCGTCCTCCGTGCGGTGTTCCATCTTGTAGGTCATGTCGCTTAACCTGGTGTTCGGCACCTTGCATTTGGGACAAGGACAGTTAGTGTTGATGTCGGACTTCATTCTAGTTACTTCGCATTGTTCGGGATAGTCCCCGATATATGCATAAGTGTGTGGGTGTTGGTGTAAGGGCCTAATAAACTCAAGCTATTAGGACTTAACCAAACTTAAAACCTCTCCTCGGGGTCACCTCCAAGGGTCCCTGGGTGCCTGGTACAAGACCAGCCCCTATCCTCGGGTCCGAGTTTGTAGAGAGAGGGATCAAGAAGGACTTAGTCAAAACAGAAAGAGTACCTTGAACGTCGCGCAGCGTGCCGTGCAGACCGTCGATCGGATTAAGCTGAGAATTCGCTATATCGAAGCTCGCTCCAAGAGCTTTAAAATGAGCCAAGTTGCCTCGCGAAAAGTTCTGCCATTACTAAGTTATGGCTCGGACAGCGTTTGCCTAGCGTTGGAGTGCTAGCATACTAGCGTTGACTCGGGTAGCATTCCGCCGTCGAATAGCGCAGAAACGAAATTCCAGCGAGGAAGGAATTCGCTTGAATCAATTTGACTATATTCAGGTACAAACAGAGAAGGATTAAATAGTTCTAGCTAGCAAGGACCTTGGGAATCAACCTGGGAACAACCAGGGATGATCCCAAATAATTCCAAGCAACAGAACCAACCTGGCTGGACAAAATAGCAGGTGGTAGGTTGGTAAACAACCTCTGGTTCTGTTTTTCCAACCTGGGAAAACAACAACCAGGTTCAGGTTCTAAAAACAGAACCTGTTTT